CTTCTTCCGGCTTGCATCGGTCATGTTAGCATTGTTAGGGCACAAAGTGTTGGCCCCACTATCTGAAGATGTTCAGTAATTAAATACACATCTTTTTATTAAAGATTTTTTCTTTTAGTGAAGCAGAACTGATGATTTCAGTTTGAAAGGAACAAAACACCTACCACTTTCCTCCAGTTCCTTAACACAAAGTCCACCAGAACATGTTGATCCGGCGTAAGTGGTACAGTCTGCCGCCGATGTACAAGGAGCTCCATTTTCCCACATTACACCATTTGTATAGTAACCACTGGATATAAATGGACATATAACGAAATAATTTTTTTTTCCAAAAAAGGAAAGTAACCCTTACATCTTGTTGTAGAGACAAGTAACGGTCAAATAAAGCGTTAGAGGGCAGACTTTGTAGGCGCAACCAATTCCTGTCGTTTTCCCGTGTACCATCTGAAAAGTTGAGCCATAGAGAAGTCCAAACTGTTTTGACGTCTCTTCATATCTTTTTTACTGAGATAAATCGAAAGATAAAGTACAATAAGCTCACATTAGCGAAAGAGTAAAGACTGGAGTTAACATATTTGTTGTCCGGATCGGTGCTACCATACTTTCGTACAGCGCTCCACCATCCGTTCACAGCAGCTGCCACGTTACTTAGAGGATTCGTGAATATCCCCGTATACCTTAAAAGGACCAACAGACTATGCCTTTAGGTTCATTGCTTTGTCTCTATAGTACCTTATAAGATTTTGTGAGTATCCGCTGAATGATCCTAAGGCCGATGGGCAGTTGGAGATGTAGCTTTGAGCTTGTTGTTCGAGGTCACAGTCCCATTGCTAAAAAGAAGATTTACGTTTTTCTAGCTGAATATAGATTAGATTTATTACCAGTTTGTACATGTTCTTTGCGGGACCCAAAAGTCCACATTTGTTTGGTTCAAGTCCTTGGGCAACGCTGAGGCGTGCTTCGTTGTGAGCATTAAGGAAAAGAAGCCGTGCAGCGTCGGTAATTCCTGAGTTTGAGCAACCAAAAGCTGAAAAGTTTGTTTTGTTGATTTCCTCAACGAGCACAGTGATGAGGTAAAGGCATACCTTGGCGTTTCCTTCGAAC